AGATCTAAGCACCCTGCGGCCCAGATCCAGCCCCTGGGCCTTGAGTTTAACACCCCTGCATTACAGCATTTTAGTACCATTTTGCCAAAAACCAGCATTTTACTTGGTTTTTTGGTTTTGGCTTTTTTTTTTTTTTTGCAAAACTGGCCTATAGTGAACCAGTAATTCATTTAATGACTGCATCTTTTGCTTAATGACCATCATAAAAAGATAATAAAACCAGGTCCGTCACCAACCCATCATGAAATACAACAGGCAGGCTCCATTATAGTTGTAACATCAGGACTGCCTATAGTCAAACATATCCTGTAATCTGCAAGGAATGTCCTTTGAATGCAAAGCCCCTGATGTTTCTCAATCCTTGGCTTTTAAAATATTTATTAGAAAATAGCTACTAGTATTTGCTCTGTTTTTAGTGCATATTGTTATGATTGGAAATATTAACTGTTTCAAAGAACACAATTACGTGCCTTTCACTTTACGTTTTACGTAATATAGTATTTTTGCTTAACTGAAAATAATAGATCTCGTATTGCAATTTCCGAAGTATTTTATCTTACTTCCTATAATTTCATGTGATGAAAACAACTTGATTGAGCAAGGGGCAGGAAGAATGTTTGCATAATCAACATAAGTTTCAAGGAGAGCTATATAAAATTTGACATTTTCAAAAATATAATTTTTACGGCTACTGTGGCAGAGACCATACATGTTTCTGCAGTCAGTGATCAGCAAATACACAGCAGTACATCTCTGTTAATGGGCCATTTATTGGATAACACTAAAGACATTTACTACCTTCAGCTGATAGTAAAAAAATGTAAGGAAGGTGTTGAAGTATGTCCTAATTATACCCTGACTATATATATGGGAATGTATTGTGGAAATAACAAATGCATTTTGTGCATTTAGTAAAACTTCCTTTATGTATCTTTATTCAAGTGCTGAAAATCTATTAATTTAATATGCATAGTTCTCATACACAAGTACAAAAACCACCTCCCGTTTTCCAGCAACATGTTTCAGGCAAAAACTAATTTATGTCCTCTCAGAAAATGTGGACAGAAGAAAAGGAAATCGGAATACACTTTCATTCTACACTAATATACAAAACCGTAATTTTGAGTATCATAAATATGGCGCTATATTTCTGAAGAATGTCAGCAGGGAAAGGTTGGTATAAGTCTGAATCTGAACTTTGAAGGCTACCTTGAAGCTAATCCAAGTGAATTAATTTCTGGTCTTCTCAGCTTGGCTTTAAAAGTAAATAGAAGAATATCCCTTTATTTAAGTCTCAGATCGCAAAAGTGTTTGAACACGAAGACTTCTTTAATTTACTTGCCATGAAATTGGTTTTGGTGAGCTAATTAATACAAGTATTCAGATGTCTATGGAGATTCTTAGTCATCCAGGTTAGGTTGTCCCAAAATGCTTTTCCCAAAAGGCAACTGGACTTAAGTGTTTGGTTTTTTTCTTTGAAAACATTTTACTTCTCATTCAAGAAACTTCTTCAGTTCTGACTGACTGAATTCCCCACCAGTCATTTAAAACTGAACGAGCTTCTTGGATGAGAAGTAAAACGTTTTCAAGGGAAAAAAAACAACAAAGTCCAGTTACTCTTTAGAAAAAACACCTTTTGGACATGTGTTCAAAAGTGATGAAATAGTTGCTAGCTTTGCAGTGATTTTACACCCTTTGGCTTTAAACTTACTTATTTTATTGTATGTAGATTTCCTGTTACTAACAACACTTGCACATTAACTGGTTTCAGTAGTTTCTTTCTCACCCGGCTTTCATTTTAAAAAAACAATGATTGTTGAGGAAAGCAAGCCATTTATTAAATCTTGTAAGGTGACTTAATGGGAATATGGTTGTGGTACAGTTTGTTATGGTCCCCAGTATAGAAACTAAAAGGTACTTTGTCTTCTTTAGACTGTAAGTCATTCCGCCAAGATAGGAGTGTAGAGTTGTGTTTGCAGTCCCTGCAATGCAATATTTCACAAATCAGGCCTAGCTTATTTTCTTTAAATGCTTTAACCAGCATGTACATCCCTCTCACTGTTAGGGTGGTTATTTGAATTTGCTTTAGCAAAGATTACATGGATAAACACAGCATTGTCACAGTTAATAGAAACCTGTGCAGTGAGGTCTGAGGTTGCAAGATCGGTAACAGTGTCAATGACAGTGAAGTATGGCCTTATCAAAAGGCGAATTCATAAGAGGCTGCCCTGGGACACTCCACCACTGTCCTTCTGTGTATCCTGACAATGTTATCTGTCCTCTCAGTGCGGAGTATCAAATGTCTATCATGAGTATAGAAATTAATTTAATGTCACCTGAAGACATGCAATTAATCTTTTAGAGGTTTTCATAATACCTTTACAGAAAGAGTTGCCAGTTTGGCGGATTTGGATTTTGGGGTTTAGTTGAAGATAAGGAAAATTAATTTTTCATCAGGGTTAATACAAGCTAGCAGGGGTACAAAGGCTGAGAGAGATGGTTAGGGAATTTGTCAAGTGTTGTCACTTGGAATAATGGTGCTTAACGTTTGATAGGTGTAATCAAGAGTTGAGATTTCTATAGAAAGGGATTAATCAATTTGCTCACTACAGAATGCACACGAGTGATACCGTTTATTTGTGCGGTTTTAAGAATTAGAATAAGATTTGATCTGTCAAATTGCAAGAAGCTCTGACAGTATCAATGGGGCAGTATTTTATCAGGACATCCTCAACGCGTTTGTTATAAATAAAATTGTCCAGCTAATATTGATAGCCAACTGACTTCATCTTCATTGTGAAACTGTCAAGGTATTTGTGAGAAAAGTACAGCTTACAAAATTCTGGTGCTCCTTCGTTGCTCTTATTTATTAACATCCTTTCTAATAAAGCATGATCAGAGCTTACCTTTCTAAAAATAAATAATGGAATTGGAAGCTTCTAAATCTTACTCATTTAATTTCTTGCCTTTTCCACTGAAATTAATGAAGACTATTAATAACAACCTTAGTTTTTAGACCATGTAATGAGATGTTAGCCTACATAAAATTTGTATTGTACCCCTGAAAAAGGTATATGTCCACTTATCATGAATATAATAACTGAAAGTGCAAATATGCCATATCTTTAAATTTCAATTTTTTTAACACTCTAGATTTGCAGGATCTTTTATTTGCAGATCAACAGTTCAAGACATGCTATGACAAGGGCTCTCCTGCTGAGCTTTACTTCTGATAGATCAGATTGCCTAATCCTACTCTTGGCTTGTCATTCAAAAATAATACAAATATGAGTTTCTGAGGGGGGATTTAATGTTTTTAGTTCAAAGTAGGAAAGTGTGCTTATTTACTAGCAGGGACATATTACATTTCTCTGCTGCTGTATAAATGCAGTTTTAAAGTTCTGTAGATTGATAACCATTGTAGAAAGATTTCACTGTGGATACTTCAATTTCAGTTAAGATATTTTAAGATATAGAATAAAGTATTAGAGAGGGAAACTCTTAGAATAAACTTAGTTCTTCAGTTTATCATGTCTGTTTAAAACACATTGCAGAATTTACAGCCTTTCTAGAATTGTGTTGGTTTTAATTTACCCTCAGAGTTTGGGATAGAATATTTCATTCGTGAATAACAGAATGCCATATGTGAAGGAACACATCACATAACCATGGGTTGATTTGATTTTCTTTGAACAATCATAATTAGAAAAGGTCTGCCTGGTACAGAAAGACGGTAGCCTGCCTGGATCAGACCAAAATCATCTAGCATCTTTACATTTCCCTTAGGGATGTGCAGAACATTCTGTTATTTTGGATGGTCCATATCCATACTGAAATTATTAAGAGCTTATCTGGGCACAGATCTTGAAGGCATATGTGCTGGCAAAATGCTCCAGGTTAAGAGGCAGTGGCTAAAACAGGGAGGGTTAAGACAAGGTAAGATTAGGGAAAGGACATAAGGTCCAGATAAAAATTAAGATGGGAAAGAAGTGTGGTCCAATCTGGACCTGAGTTGAGGGGAGGAGTAAAAAGGCTGGCTATCCTTGAGTAGATGATGAGGTGGAAGCAGTGAAAAGGAGATCTCTAAAATTTTGCAGTATTTATCTAGTGAGATTCTTGTCAATGGATGAATGGCAATAAACAAATTGTGTGTGTGTGTGTGTGTATCTGTTTATATTCATATATATATATATATCGATAGATAGATGATAGATAGATACACGCACACACACACACACACACACACACACAAAATTGGGGAGCTGGATAGGTATACCTTGCTTGATTTCTGGTGCAGTAAGTGGGTAAAGGAAAGGATGCTGGAAATATTGATGAGCTGGCTGGTACAGAGACCATGCAGAGATGGGGAGGAGAGGGAAACTGGTTTGTCAACCTTCCTCTAGTTTGCCTGTCAGATGAGGGAACCATCTAATAGGGGAACTAGCTATCTGGGTTTAGTTTGGACAGATTTTGATTTCCTGGAAAAGGTGTGCATGATTCATACTTTAAATCAAAACACGTTTTCTGTTTTGTGTACAGTATATCTCCAAATGTTGACAGTCACGAATATGAAGTGCCTTCATGCCATAAGCAGGACCTGAAGGCAACAGGTTCCCCAGCATTTTGTTATATAATTACATCAACTGAAAATTCTGAGAGTTAAGAGCCCCAGAACTAGAAGGATTCCACATTGTGGAAAGTTGTACTAGCATTTGATTCACATATATGTCTATTAAAAAAACAACAAAACGCTGTGATTTTTAACTCTTAAGGAATAAATCACACAGGAAGGAGGTTCTACTAAATGCCTTCTCTTCTTAACCCTCTCTCAATTTTAGGAACCCATGCACATTCTCCTTTGAATAAAGCATGATCTTAATACTTCTTAATCTGTTCTCCAAGCTCCATTCTATAGTAATTGTTGCCAAAAATACGTAGTAGATTTTTTTTTTTTTTTTTTTTTTTTACGTCTTAAGCAAAATGTTTTAAATTTCTTACAGGGTGGTGAGAACGTTGGCTTTTCTAATTTGGAAGAATCTGCTAACCGGCTTCCGCAGCCATCGGAGCAAAGACATCAGCCAATACGGAAGGTCACTCTGACAAAGGGGACAGTGCAGCAACCACATCTGCCTCATCAGCATCTTCTGTCACAGATTCATTCTACGTTTCCTCAAGGACTCAAAAATATCCCAGGGATACATCAAGTGAAAAAGGTATTGATTCTGGTTTGTCCTGATATCTTCATTAGTTGCTTGAAGAAATAACTTTTCAGGGTTATTGAGACGCTGAACTTGTTAACTACATTAGCTGTTGAGGTAGCAGAAAGAGAATTTCTCTTGGTGGTATAGATTTGTGATGGTTGTTTTGACTTCAGGTAAAAGCTATGGATGGTGAAAACATTCCCCAGTGAATGCTGGTTCTCAGGTAACATTCCGGTATCTGATAGTTCCCAGATAAATTGGATTCCAATTTTTAACATCTTGAAAAGCACCAAACAGAATTGATGGGAAATGTATTTTAACACTGCAGATAACTATATGGGGGACCCTTGAGCTCAAATCCTTTTGTAAGATCTTTGCTAGTGTGTAATTTCATATAATAAGTTACTTTTTGTAACTCATGCATGTTTATTGCCTTAATGTATAGTACTGGCAAAATGCTGTAAATTAAGAATGCTTTCAAAAATAGAAGTGTTAATAGTTTATATTTTATCAATTTAACAAAATGGAAAGTAAATGAACAGAAGAGAAAGGCAAATCAAATTAATATTCGGCGTGATCACCCTTTACCTTCAAAACACAATCAATTCTTACACTTGCACAAAGTCAAGGATTTTGTAGAATGAGAGCCAGGTGTATTATACCAACTATACCAAGCAGGTACAAGTGAACATCAATTTCCTAAATGGGTTGAAACTCAGTCATTAACTGAAAAAGTAGGAAGCTTAAATCTGGGTAAGGAACATCCAAACTCTCCTACTAAGGTGAGGTGGTGGAAGACAGTTGCATGTCACAAGTCAGGCACCATGGCAAAACTGAGCACAGGAACAAAAGATAGTTATACTGCATCAACAAGGTCTCTCCCAGATAAAGATTTCAAACCAGACATCTCAACATCATTGAATCTGTTTAGGATTACATGAAGAGGCAGAAGGCAGCCTACATCCACAGAAGATCTGCAGTTATTTCTCCAAGATGTTTGGAACAACCTTGCCGAGTTCTTTCAAAAACTGTGTACAAGTGTACCTAGAAGAATTGATGCTGTTTTGAAGGATAGTCACACCAAATATTGATTTGATTTGGATTTCTCTTCTGTTCATTTACTTCCCTTTTTGCTAATGGATAAAAAATAATTCATTAGCACTTCTGTTTCTGAAAAATGACATTCAGTGGCTCAGTGGTTAAGATGCTGAGCTTGTCGATTGAAAGATTGGCAGTTCAGCAATTCAAATCTCTAGTGAACTCCCATCATTTGTTCCAGCTTCTGCCAACCTAGCAGTTCGAAAGCATGTAAAAAATGCAAGTAGAAAAATAGGGACCACCTTTGGTGGGAAGGTAACAGCATTCCATGCACCTTTGGCATTTAATCATGCCGGTCACATTACCATGGAGACGTCTTCGGACAGCGCTGGCTCTTCGGCTTTGAATAGGAGATGAGCACCGCCCCCTAGAGTTGGAAATGACTAGCACATATGTGCAAGGGGAACCTTTACCTTTACCTTTACCTTTTATTTCTGAAAACATTCTTAATTTATAGCATTTTTGCACAACTGCATAATACTTTTACGTAGAACTGTATGTCAGAGATTTGGGGAACTTACCTTATGGAGTGGCTGTAAAGAGGGAAGAATTCGTTTGTGGACACTGCTAGAAATAAAGAGTTCATGAAGGAAAGGGATGTTGCTTTGGCAAGCCTCGGTGTTTTTGGACTGTTTTCTCCTAGGGATGGAACTTCTTGTTACATTGGAACTTTGCTATGATTTCCTATCGATGTAGGTGAAAGCACACATGTCTCTCATTGATTGTAACTTTCAGTTAGATGAAACAGTGCATCATAGGCCAACAATTTTTAAAACGGTATACCTCAAAAGGACTAACTTACAGAAAGCATCCACAGCATCAATGATTCCTGTGGGATTGAAATTTGGCAAAGTTGCGGCTGCTTCGGTGCTGCCACAGTTAGCCACAATCACAAAGGCGTCTGGCTAGGTGGCTCAGTGGCTAAGACGCTGAGCTTGTCGATCAGAAAGGTTGGCAGTTCAGTGATTCAAATCCCCAGTATAGGTCTCCTGCGTGAGCAGGGGGTTGGACTAGATGACTCCAAGGTCCCTTCCAACTCTCTTACTGTTAACTTGATCCTCATTTTCAGAGTTCTCCCTCCAGCTTCCTGCAAGAAAACTCAATGGCAGGAAGTTGGACATCTCCCACTTGGGTTTTTTGGTTTTTGTTTTGGTTCATTCTGTTTCTCTCTTTAGATAAGGACGTACCTCTGAAACAAAGATACCAATGGATCATAGGTTTCCTGGTCCATAATTTAAATGAAAGTGAGTCTGAGGGAACTATGACTGCCAGACAGGGGTGAAATCCAGCAGGTTCTGACAGGTTCTGGAGAACAGGTAGCGGAAATTTTGAGCAGTTCAGAGAACTGGAAGCAGAAACTTTGAGCAGTTCGGAGTACCGGTAGCGGAAATTTTGAGCACTTTGGAGAACCAGCAAATACCATCTGTGGCTGGCCCCAGAGTGGGGTGGGAATGAAGATTTTGCAGTATCCTTCCCCTGCCACGCCCACCAAGCCACGCCAGGCCCACCAAGCCACGCCCACAGAACTGGTAGTAAAAAAGTTTGGATTTCACCGCTGCTGTCAGGCCATTAACTGTGTTTACAGATGGAACTTCAGTCATTTGCCCTCCAGCCTTTCAGAGAAAAGATAACTCGTGTTTAATCTGTCAGATTACGTAAGCAGAAGCACGAAATCAAATCCTTTTTTTCTCACCAGGGTATTCTGCATGGGAGAGGCAGGGGGATCGTGAGCCAGATGGGCCGAGGCCGCTTAATGACAAGTAAGCCGAATCTGCGGGTGGTGGAGTGCAAACCTCAGCCCTGTGTGGTGTCAGTGGAAGGGCTTTCTTCATCCACCACGGACATTCAGCTGAAGAACCTGCTCATGTCAGTAGGACCCATCCAGGTAGATCATCTCCCACCTTTGTTATTTTTGCCAGAGATCTTAAATCTTTACAAAGCTCTAGACCAGCGTTTCTCAACCTTGGCAATATTAAGATATTTGGATTTCAATTCCAGGAATCCTGTAGCCAGCATGGCTGACTGGGGGATTCTTAAGAGTTGAAATCCAGCCATCCTAAAATCGCCATGGTTGAGAAACACTGCTCTATACATTTGAAAGAAGTGGCACAATAGGAGGTGTTCGGCTGCTAACATATATTTAAAGATGCCCACTACCACTATTATCTGAAAGAGCGGAAAAAAACAAAACAAACCCTTTGAATCAGTAAAAGGTCATCTGCAATCTGGTGGATGTGTTTGCAAGTTTGATCTGGTCACAGATTGAACCCATTTTCTGAGTTATACATTAAATATAAATAAATCAAATGGACTAGGTTTGCATAGCACCAATAAGCCCCAAGAGAAATTAACTAAAAATTAGACCGTGCTTAAGCAGGTTGCACAACTGCAGCCACCAAATCTTTTAAGTTGGTTAACATACGGCAGGGTGAAGTGCTGTTTTGTATTTTGTACCTATATATACTTCTCTTGGTTTTTACAGCACTCTTTTCTGTTCTCTCTCCAGTATCTTATGACGAATGGAAAAATTCCATTCAATGCTAACAGGGAAATCTAATAGCAACAGCACATAGACTTATATACCGCTTCACAGTGCTTTACAGCCCTCTCTAAACGGTTTTACAGAGTCAGCCTATTGCCCCCAACAAACTGAGTCCTCATTTTACCCACCTCGGAAGGATGGAAGGCTGAGTCAACCTTGATCTGGTCAGGATCGAACTGCCAAACTGCTGGCAGCCGGCAGTCAGCAGAAGTAGCCCACAGTACTGCATTCTAACCACTGCACCACCAGGGCTCATGATGGGAATATTCTCCTAAGCAAATATTTTGGTGGATGTCCATTTAAGACTTAGCTCCTAAAGGCCTGTTTCTCATGGAACTGCCTCCACATCTAGATAGGTCAAAAGCGATATCCATAGTTAGGTTCTTCCTCATCATCTAGAAAAAAAATTAACCCTTAAATAATAGGGTATCATGTTTTCTTTCTTTTTTTTTTTAATTTGATTTATATGCCGCCCTTCTCCGGAGACTCTGGGCGGCTTACAATGCGTTAAGCAATAGCCTTCATACTTTTGTATATTTATACAAAGTCAGCTTATTGCCCCCACAAACTGGGTCCTCAATTTACCTACCTTAGAAAGGATGGAAGGCTGAGTCAACCTTGAGCCTGGTGAGATTCGAACTTGCAGTAATTGCAGGCAGCTGAATATTAATAACAGGCTATTAGTCTGCTGCGCCACCAGGCTCTTTTGGTTGATTTGATTGTAGCATGTCTTCTAAACCATGAAGTAGCTGCACAAAGGAGGATAGGGAATTATTCTGCAACCATGTAATGTAGGGTGATTCTATTAAAGTTATAACTATCACCTCTGAAGGAAGGAGGTATATATAGAGCCTGCTGTATAGGGTAAAAATTCTCAATGAAATCTCCTTTGTTGAACAATATCTATCTATCTATCTATCTATCTATCTATCTATCTATCTATCTATCTACCTACCTACCTACCTATCTACCTACCTACCTACCTACCTACCTACCTACCTCTCTCTCTCTCTCTCCCTCCCTCCCTACCTACCTACCTACCTACCTACCTACCTACCTACCAGGAGTGAAATACTCCCACTTCGGACCGGCTCAGGCAAGTAGGTAGCGATGGCGGCGGGCCGTTCGGAGAACCGGTAGCAAAAATCCCTGCCCCCGCCCCCCATGCCCAGCTGAGCCCCGCGATCATCAGAGCCTTTTTTTCCTTTTAAATGGCTCTGACCAGCCAAGCTCTGACATCCCAGCTGAGTTGCCTGCTAATCAGGCAACTCAACTTGGATCGCCAGAGCCATGTAAAAGAAAAAAAGTTTCTTTCACCCCCCCTCTCCCAGCCTCCAGCTTGCTTACCTTAGCTGCTGATTGCATGACGATCGCAATCCATGCATCAGCAAGCAACAATCTCCCTGCCTGTAATCAAGCTCATCGGTGAGCAGCTCTTTTTGCCTGCCTGCCTTCCTGCCTAGACTTGTGGACTTCAACTCCCAGCAAAGCTGGCTGAGGAATTCTGGGAGTTGAAGTCCACAAGTCTTAAAGTTGCCAAGGTTGGAGACCCCTGTTCTATTGGGTAAGTTTTTTTCCCCTTTGGGAGCTTTAAAAAAAATAGTTAATTGGGGGTTTTTTTAGTTCTTTTTTTAGACCTAGCCATTTAAAGTTTAGGAAGTTTTAAATTTAGCTGCTTTTATATAAAAATAAATTAAAATAAAATAATATTTGTGCAGCTTTCTGAGATTTAGTGTGTTTCTGTAGTGTATCACTCTAGCTACACAAACACACAAAATCTCTCAAAGCTGTATGTGGAATTTTGTGTGTGTAAAGTGTGAAAGTTGTTTTTTTGGGCTTTTTGTGGCTGTTTGAGGTTCCTGCTTGTTGCGGGGCTATTTTGAGTCTAGCACAGCTGCTTTTACATTGTGGGTGAGCCAGTTGTGTTGTGTTGTGTTTTGTAGGTTAAAAAAGGGCAAAAAAGTGACATTGACTTGGCCACGCCCACCCAGTCACCTTACCACCAAGCCCCGCCCACTAATTAAGCCACGCCACAGAACCGGTAGCAAAAAATTTTAGATTTCACCTCTGCTACCTACCCACCCATCCATCCATCTATCTACTTACCCATCCATCCATCCACCCACCCACCCATCTACCTACTCTATCTATCTATCTATCTATCTATCTATCTATCTATCTATCTATCTAATCTATCTACCCATCCCCCTCCCTCCCTCCGTCCCTCCCTGTATTTTATGTAAAACCTCCAAATTGCATTTGTTACTCAATTAATACTAACCCTAACCTTAACCTAGGACTAAACAGGACCTAATTTTTTCAGATCATCTAAATTTGTCTAGGTGCTGACACATGATGGCTCAGGAATTACAGAACCATAGTTTAAAGTGGTAGCAATTGTGTTAGGACTAAGCACGTATAATTTAAATAGATTGGCACAGAGACCCATCTGTCTGTTGCTCTTGATACAAATATTTGAGATTAGCAGTATCGGCGTTCTCTGAGCCAGCTGGGAAAAAATGTTCCTTGCCAATTCCATCTGTCTCTAGGTGAAAATGTCAACCAAAGTACATTTCCAGTTTCAAGGGGATGCTAGTACAGAATATCCATGAATGTTCTTTTCGCTAATAACTTGCCATCTGTCTTCAAATCGATTTTGGTGTTATTACTTAAATATTCATTTGCTATGCTTTTTGGTTCTTCTGTTGGGTCCATATGGAAATATTATTTAACTAGAGATATTCTCTGCAAGAATGAAGAAAGAAAAGAACTCTTTCTATTACAATTGTTTCTGGATCTTAGGACTTTACCTGGTCATAGTTGGTTGGGAGTTTCCCATTTGCAGGATCTCAAGGCACAATAATTATCATGTGTACAGGTTGTCTTAATTCAGTGAGAAAACCTTACAGTAAGAAAAGCACACACAAATGAGTTGGCAAGAGTTGGAAATAATTAAAGCATATTCATTTTCCTAAAGAGCAGCAAAAGATAAAAGAAAACTGCTGTCATCACTTGAGAGCAAACCGGGGCATTTACAGCCTGGAGGCCACATCTGGCCCTTTGACTCTCTCTGTCCAACCCACAGCATCAGCGGCGTTGGCAACATTGGGGCGATGGCCTCCACAACAGTCCCAGTTTTTCATGTTGTTCTTTGGAAAAAGTAATTGCCCACCTGAGCTCCAGAGAGAGATCAGAGATGACCATGCGTAACCCTGCACACGTGTTATCATCCTTTTTGCGAAGAGGGTGGGTGCCTGCATTGGAGAATCTTCTATCTCTGTGGGGGCTTCCCATAAAATTGGGGTCCTAACTGATAAAGGCTCTCCATTGCAAACATTCTTTTTATATATGTGGAAGGGATATAAGAAGCAGGATTTTAGCAGGTGACTAAATTATTGGCTAAAATTCTGAGCATGCAGGTAGCCCTTGACTTAACAACCACAGTTGGGACCAGAATTTCTGTTACTAAGCAAGATGGTTGTTAAATGAGACATGCAAGTTTCTACAGCCTGTTTTATCACGGTTGTTAAGCGCATCAATGCAATTCTTAAATGAATTACATGGTGTTAAGCAAATCTGGCTTTCCCTTGCTCTTTGGTAAGTACAGTTGGTCTTTGACTTACAACAATTCATTTAGTAACTATTTGAAGTTACAACAGCATGGAACAAAGTGTCTTATGACTGGTCTTGCACTTCTGACTCTAGCAGCATCCTCACAGTCACATGATCAAAACTCGGGCACTAGGTAACCAGCATGTATTAGACCAGTTAAAGAATCTCCAGATTATTTGATTGCCGTTTGCGGCCTTCCCAGCTGGCTTCTGACAAGCAAAGTCAATTGTTGTAAGTCAAAGACTACCTGTACTTACCTAAGAGCAAGGATTTTTGAATTGAAGGACCTACTGCAGTATAAGCACGCATTTCTTTGGGTTTGAAGTCTGACATAAATGCTTTTATTAATCTTATTTTCTTTTTGCCAACAGAAGGAAAAAAGAATAATCTAAGGAGGTCCCCCCCCTCCCCAATTGCTACTCAATTTTCTGGAAATAAGATGGGATAAATGGAGAGCTATCCCAGCATAAAAGCATCCTATATGCCAGGGGTGTCAAACTTGTGTCATCATGTCGTTGTCACATGATGTATCGCAACTTTCTCTCTCCCCCCCCCTTTGCTAAACCGGGCGGGGATGTGGCCAGTGTGTGATGCATCCGGTCCTGTGGGCCACGAGTTTGACACTCCTGGTATAAGAAAATGAGAAAGTACAGGTTAGGACTCTACAGGGCTTACGATCACGATTTATATTGCGAAATGAGAAATTTCTTAAGTGAGTTTTGCCTCATTTC